GAACAAGGCTTCTTTCTGTTACAAGCCCAGTGTAACAATCTCTAAAAGACAAGTGACAGATCAGTCTGACTCCCCTAAAACTACTTTTAAGTTAAGAAGCAAAACGCACACAAAAGATGACTAAGTCATAAGAAAGGGTCCCGTGCAACGTGACTCAGGTGGCAATTCTATTACGCTGGAATGATCTGACTCCAGCAGCCAGTATTCTTTGAGTTAAAAATGGACAGTAAAAGGTTATTTTTAAGCACATGAAACCAAAAGTTCAACTGTGATTCACCATATATCTTATTCCAATTTAAAGTGATGCTTAATTCAGCACGAAATATGGCACTAACCTTCACAACAGTGACTTTCTTTCTCAAGTCAATGGTCTAAAATTAAAATACTATGGCTAACGTTAAGAGTTACACAGAAGAAAGACAGCAATGGTAACAGCCACCTGCAACTGCCAGCATGCAGGCTACTAATCAACAAAGAGGCACACAGACAAAATAAATGCCCCCCTTGAACTAATAACGCAGGGTTGATAACCCTGGGTTGATCTTCCCCACATTATAACCAACTAAAATGGTGTGGTTTGCGGTCTCAGAGGATTTTGGAAGAGATCGTACTGTGTCTTCCTTTCCCTACAGAAGAGAAATAGGACAATGAGGCAGGATGGGGGCACATTCGTGCCTTAGAAATAAATACAGCTTGAACATCCTCAATTTGAAATTCCAAAATCCAATGTGTTCCAAAATCCAAAAATTTCTGAGTGATGCCACAAGTGGAAAATTCCACACCTAATCTTATATAATGGGTCATAGTCAAAAATGCAGAGGCACTAAATATAAAATTACCTCTGGGCTATGCATATAATGTTTATATGAAACATAAATTTTTAGTTTATCTTGGGTCTCATCCCCAAGACATCTCATTATTCTTGTGCAAATATTCCAAAAATGAGAAAAATCCAAATCAACACATTTCTGTTCCCCAGTATTTGAGGTAAAGGTTACTTAACCTAGAATCCTAACTACAGGGTTCTGTCACTTCCAATTCAGTCATTTTATTATTCAAATTCAGAATACTGAACTTGGAAATGTACCAAGTATTAAATTGTTTTCAACTTCACTTAGTTCATCGTACTTGAAAATATTCAATGTGTCTGATAAAAAGTTAAAAAGACTACGCCAGAGGCAGAGATAGAAGGGTCATGGTTCAAGGCCAGCCCAGGCAAAAAAAGCATGAGACCTTATCAGAAAAATAAGCTAAAAAGCAAAAGGAGCCTGAGTCATCGCTCAAGAGACAGAGCACTTTGACAAGGCCCTGACTTCAAACCCCCTACAATCCCCCCACCAAAAAAAAAGTTAAAAGAGCAACTCATAATATGCTTTTTTTCTACAACTACTGTATATTCTTTTTGGTATCACAAATTACCTCTCTTGTCTTTGTAATCTGGACAAATGATATATAACAGTAATCCTAATTGCCTCAAATGGTCACTCATGTCAAGGTGTGCTATACCATGAAGATACACAGAGAGGGGATGTACAGATAAAACACCACTGGCCATGAGTGAATAATTACAGAAGGTGAATCACAGATATGTCAGCGTGAAAATACTCTTATCTCTGCTTCTGAATATTTGGTATATTCCGTAACAAAAAGTTAAAAACAACACTAAATCACAACCAAAACAGTGCATGCAGTACAGCAGTGATCTGAATCCATTTGTAATTTTCCATGAAATAAGTATCAGATTTTTTAAAGTGAAATTAATGTGGTGTCACAGAAATGGCTAAGACTTCTAAATTAAAAATAAGACTAAGGCTGGAGATTCAAATAAAAGACTAACTTTGAAAAAAATTCACAAGATCAATCAACATGTATGAAGCAAAGACCCTCTAAAAAGCAGACCACAAAGATGATCAGCACCTCCATCATGGTACCTTGTACATGTGAGAGTACAACTATCACCCTTAGCTTTCACCCCACTGCCCCTCCAGTCTCTCTGAAAACATGTTGGATCCGTGTACTTATGGTGAGCAAACAGGGCCCTTTTTCATACTGCATACAACAGAATGTTTACTGAATTTTAAAAACATACTGCACATTAATATTTTAGAGATGACTTAAACCCAATATTGTAATCTTCCCAAAGGAGTTCCTCCTCAATATCCACTGCTCACACACACACACACACACACACACACACACACACACACACACCCAACAGGAAAACTCTAAGGGGACTGCCTTGCGTATTATTTTGGCAAACAAAATTAAGTGCCAAGATTAAGCTTTAAAAATAGTAAGCCTAATTCAGTAAAACATGTCTAATAAATTTTTATAAATTTTGCAAGAAACAAGTAAACAACACTTCACTTGTAGTTAAAATCTAGAAACATATACTGAAAATAAATAATTTGACTTTTAAATAACCTATTTACTTCATCTTGATTTGAAAATAATTAGAACTTGGATCTTATGTCATATTACTGTCACTGGGGTGGCGATGGTCATTAAAAATCAGGAACTCGGGTTTTTGTTTGTTGATTTCTTTTGCTTTCAGATTCTTCATTTAATGAGGAATTCAAAACAAATCCTCATTTAAACATTGGAATGTAAAGACAATCAATTTTGTGAATGTTTTGTTTCTTAATATGAAGAAAACAAAAAAATGGCTTCCACAGTAACCTTGAGTATGACTAAATTGTGTAACTTCCTAATAACTAATACCAAAAGTAGTTAACAATTAGAAGGGGAAACTAAAAGTATAAAGGCTTGTAGCAGTCAGGTATCCCTACTCTAAAATCCCTATGGACACATATTCCCACACAGACTGAGAGTCTATTTAGCAGCCCCAACCTACTTTCCCTGGGTGCTGGGTTAAAGGAAAAAGTACTATTCATAAGATTATACTCAACTAGAAGTTTTCTTTTTTTCCTATTTTTTCTTTTTTTTTGGTGGTATTGAGGTTTGAATTTGGGGCTTTGTACTTGCTAGGCAGGCACTCTACCACTCTTCCTAAACTAGAAAGCTTAAATAGGAATGTGGCTACATTTTAAACAGGATTCCTAGCCAAATGAGAAGTTCCATCAGTCATTTTTACTATAATACCTAACATCTTTAGTCAACCCCTCCCTGTCTTTTGTGGTAACTGTTTCAATCAAATAGTTTTTGTTGTGCTGTGCTTGACAATATGGTCTTATTTACATCTTTATCTCTTACTTCTAACTTACTTCAAAACAGTCATAAAGCAGCTGACACCTGGTCTAAAATGCATTATTCTGCATTTGGTCTAAAAGATAAAAACAGCTCCATAAAATACATTCTTATAAAATACATCACAAGTACTCCTGAAAGCTGTCATAGTCATGAAAAACAGAAAGACTAAAACTCTGTCACAGAGCAAAGTAGGTATGGGAGAACTAATGACCAAATGCATTATAGTACCATGGATTAGACACTGGAATAGAAAAGTGACTGTGGAACAACTGTGAAATGCAAATGAAGTCTGGAGGTGATGTAATATACTAGTACTGTTAGTTTTTTAGCTTTGACAAATGCATCCTGGTGATGTGTTTAGAAAACTGAATGAGAGGTGTATGAAAACTCTGTTCTTTTTGCAACTTTTCTGCAAATATACACTCATTCCAAGACTATTAAACTAAAAGTTAACTTAAAAATCAGTATCTCTGAATAGCTGGAAATATTCTGAATTTTATTATGAAAAATCAGGGTGTCAGTAACTGATTTACTGCTTTGAACTCATGCAGTCACTAACTATGAATACATATTAAAGCAAAACAAAAAGCACAACCACCTAAGATATAAAAGGATACCGTTTAATACTTACCTCTTTATATCTGCAACCGTAAGAGTAATCTTAAAACAACTAGACAAATGTACTTATCTCCTCTACTATCACATTAATCCCACATGTAAGTCTGAAAGAAAAGTGTTGTCTTCCCCATTTTCACCTGGAGGGATGCTGTTCTGTACAGTCAGAACCTCCACTGCCTATTAAGTTAAGAGAATCTTCCATGTACAATCAACCAAAACTCACTGCCTCTTCTCTAGAAGAAACAGAAGCTAATGCTCCTAAGTGGCATCACACCACCAGAGAACAGTTTTTACCTGACAGTTCAAATTGGACAGTATTGTAAAAATGACTTTCTACGCATTATATCCTACCTTTCTGTTAACTGTTTTACAAAGTTGTTCTCTTACTCATTCACTTGACAAATAATTATACTGCAAAGCAGTGTGAATCACAATGAACTTAGACAACAAGTTGGAGTCTAAAATCAAAAATATGAAAGCAAATTCTGTTATAATACTCTACCACTCAAGAGAGGTCTAATCATTTCAAAAACACACCCAAAACCTAGGCACTAAGTGCAGCAATCCACCCCCATCACTTCACACATTAATATGAGATGCAAAACATTCTCTCATATAGTACCTAAAAAATCAGCATCTATTTATTTTATTTACAATGTTATTCTGTTGTCTATTATACATACACAAAGGTGCACTATTTAATGGGACAGGATGCTATCATGTAATCAGAAGAATATGAAATGGTCAAAATACAATAAAAAAAATTAAATCACTTAAAAGTCAGAATAAAGTAAAAGGGAGATGGCTCCGGATTATGCTGCTTATGAGAAAATATAGTCAGAGGAAGAAAGAAATTCGTACCAATTCTCTCTTATGCTGTGGTTTTGGAATTGTTCCTCCCTGGGCTACTCCTGTAAGTGTTCTTAAGCTCCTGTTTTCTTTCTATAACATTAAGATAATCATACCTGGTGACTTACTGCATTTTTCAAAGTATTAACAAAACAGACAAATAAAAAATAATTTTTAAAAAGCTACTTTTCAGCCACAATTAGCTTTCAAAAAACTAAGAAGTTCTAACTCCTTTGTACATGTGGAAAAAACCAAGTCTGTGTAACCATGTTTCGAACTGGGTGATGCAGAAGAGCTTGCAGACTTCTGGTAAGTGTTCTCACCTTAGAGACTTGTCGTAGCCACCGTAAGTACTCTGTGAAGGTATCAAAGCAAATGTAGTAAGTCTGGCTTTGGGGCCCAGAGGAGCTAAATGCCAAACAGTGCTGGTGCTTTTTCACTTCTTCTACCTATAAAAACAAGCAAAGAGATGCAAAACCAAGTAAGACAGCAGAACCACTGATGTATTTCACAAACTACATTATACCTTGGATCAGTGAGCCAACACAGATTTGCATGTTTCCCCATATATGTTCCCCTTATTACTTAAAACAACTAAGTTCCTGCATCTGACCAACCAGTGTGAGTTACAAGGAAATGAAAAAAGGGGAGTTTTATCTTTTCTAGAGTTCCCTACCACAGTGAAATTTTCTTCTTCCTATTTAAAAGTGGTACAAACTGTCTTTTGCATTTTTCTGTACCCTGACAATAAGACTCTGAGGTTCTTCTTTCCTTTTAGGAAGATTTTTACTTAAGGTACTTAATGTTTTAAAAAGAGGTCTTCACATCTGTTAAATTTAAGTTTTTAAAACTTTAATGTGAAACTGAGATTAAGCTAAAATAAAACCCTCCCACAAAACATTAAAGTCTTTAATAATGCAGTAATATAGTCAAGACTACTCCCAGTAAACTCTTCACAAGGTGGGAAAGTCTAGATGAACAATGAAACATGGTATTACACAAACTCCTATATTGCCTTTACAAAGATGGCTACAAACCAAGCCATGCTGAGCATATAAAAAGATTGCAAACAGGTCATTATCATGTAGACTATGTTCTCAAACAAAAATGCAATCAAGTTAGAAATCAATTTAAAATCCATGTGTTTAGGAAATTGGTAACATGTCTAAATGACACACTGTTACTTCTCTAACAATCTCACAGGTTAAAAAAAGAAATAATTTAAAAATTCTTAGAACTAAGTATGAAATAATACATGTCAAAATCTGTGGAATGCAATGAAGGTATACAGATACGCAAGGGAAATTTATGTTTTTTAATACTCACATTGGGAAAGGAAGCAGAATGATCATTTGCTTAACAAGGACTTTAAGAATGTGGAGGAAAAAAAAACAAAACCAAAAACTGAGTAAAACCAAAGCAGAATGAAGGTGATATTTACAAAAAACAAAAATGTGTGAAATGAAAACCAAACACATAACAGAGACCATTAACAAAGCAACATAGTGGCTTTCTGAAAAGACCAATAAAATTGATAAATCAAGTATTATCAAGAAAAAAGAGAGATGACACTTATATATAATATTGACGACAAGCAAGGGGAACATGACCACAGGGTCACTAGAGATTAAAAACATATTAACAGTTCTGTGGTAAATTCTTAGAAAAGATGTATTTTTCCACAAAGACTAAATAATAATAGGACTAAATAACCTTATAATCACTTAAAAAATGAGTACTTGAATTTTTTTTCTCAAAAGAATCATATGGTTTTATAGGGTGAGTTTTACCAAATTTTCAAGCAACAGATCATTCTAAACTTTTGTAAACATCATCAAACAACAAGTATAACCAACACCAGATCTGAACAGTAACAAAGGGGAAATTTTTAGGCTACCTCAGTCATGAAACTTATTTTAAACAAAATATTGTATCAGAATTCAGTAAAACACCAGGTGTGGCAGCAAATATCTGTAATCCCAGCTACCTGGGAGGCAGATTTAGGAGGACCATGGTTTGAGGCCAGCATGGGCAAAAAAGTGAGACCATAACAAAAACCAAGCCAGGAATGGTAATACATAGCATAATCCTAGCTAGTCAGGAGGCAGAAGTAGGAGGATCGCAGCCTGAGGCTGAACCCATACCAAAGCACAAAAGTATGAGATTCTATCTGAAAAATAAACAAAAGCAAAAAGGGCAGAGTACATGGTTCAAGTGGTAGAGCACTTGCCTAGCACCCACAAGGCGCTAAGTTCAAACATCGGCACAGCCAAAAAAGCAAAACAAAAAATGCCAAACAAATATAATGCTGAAACAAATACACCAAAACCAAGTTGGTAAGGAAAGATCACTTAACATTACTAGCGCTATAAAGCCAGTGGGCATTGAGGTAGAAAGGAAAAAAATAGAGGGGATGAACCAATTCAGTCTATAATACACATATGTACATGGAAATGTCACAATGAAACACCCTGTATAGCTATCTTAAACAAACAAAAAAAAAGTCATTTTTTTTTTTAACAAAAACAGAACAGGAAGGCAAAATAGGCCCTGTCTGGGAGTAGGTACAAGGTTGGCGATATAAGGAAAGGGTACAGGAGGGTGAACATGGTGGAAAGATTGTATACACTTGTATATAAATGGAAAAATGAGATCTGTTGAAGCTATTCCAGGAATGGGGGAGGGGGATAAAGGAGAATAATGGAGGGGGTGAATTCAACTATGATATATTGTATAAGAACTTTTGTAAATATCACAATGTACCCCCTGTACAACAATAATAAAAATAAATTTTATAAACTAAAGAAGAAAACCATACAATCATCCCCACAGTTGCAGAAAGAGCGGTATCACATTTACCACCAACTCACCCATTCACAATAAAAAGTAAGAACATGAACAATTCACTTCCAGAGTACACCTAGAACATGTCAGGCAATCATCAATGTTAATGAGGAACTCTTGCTCTTTAAGATCATTAAGCTGGGGATGTAGCTCAGTGGTACAGAGCTTATGCCTAGCATGAGCAAGGAAAGCCCTGGGTTCCCGGATTCTAAGCCCCACCATATAAAAATATAACAATAATAAATAAATCATTGGTAAGTCTTACTGTTTTTATTCAACATTCCACTAGAAAAAATAAGACAAAGAATAAGAAAGAAAACTGTCATTATCTGAATATGTAAGATTAGCCACCTGGTAATCTCAAAACAATCTATGGGCATTATACTATAATAAATCAGAAAATTTATCAAGATGACTAGATATGAGATCAACTACATTTCTATGCAGAAAAAAAAAGAACCAATTTTTTTTAATGCAATTTAATCATATTGACAGTCAAATGGTTTCTTGGGAATGGAGAGGAGTGACAAGCGCTGGGGCAGGGGGAATGCAAGGAGGCACAAGGAAACTTTTGAGGTTGAATGATATGTTCACTATCTTGATTGTGGTGATGGTCTGATGGGTACAGACAGCTATCAACGTGTGTACAAATTGTTGGCAAAATGTGTGGTTTAGGGTTGGGGAGTACAATTCAGTGGTAGTGTATGCCTGGCATTCACAAAGCAGAGTGTGAACCCCAGCACACACACACACAAAAAGCACAGTTCACTGCTGTCATTAATACTTCACAAAAGTATTGGTAAAGATGTAGAAACAGAAGAATAGTTGTGCATTAGGTTGAGTGTAGAATGGTACAACCATGTAAAACAGTTGGGTATTATCTTATAAAAGTAAGCATGCATATGCCCTATGACTCAGAAACTGCACTCCCATGCATATATCCAAGAACATGGGTATATGGAATTTGGGGCTGAGCAGCTCTTCATTCTTCAGGACTGTCTAATTGTTTGCATGATCCTCTTTCAATACCAAGAATGCGTCCTGCAGCAAAGACACTGGTACTCACCAAGCATTACCCACTTCTCATTTTCCCAGACCCCTTGCAAAGGTAGAGTCATTAATGAGCTCTGGCAAATAGCAGTTGACAGAAGTGTCATGTGCCAGTGAATGAATGACACTCCAGTTACCTCTGTCCCCTGCCACACGTTAGAAATGTTACTTACAAGAGAACAGAGCCTCTATCAGGCTGAGTCCCTGCACAAGTGTATAAAAAAAGGAACCTCCAACTCTGCCCCCAAATCCAACTCATAGTTGACATATAATGTGAGAAATAACTATTACAAGTCACCAAGATTTTAGGGGGGGGTTTACCATGATATAACTGAAGCTTCTGACATGTTGACTATAATCTTTTAACCATCAGGAACACTCATATAATGTCAAATGTCCCTTAGGCACACTAATTTTGTTGTAAACAACTGCCCTAAATAAAATAGTTGCATACCAGGAGGCATATCACCATAAGATTATATGTCAACAGCACTGTTTATAACAACAAAAACCTGTAAGCAACCCAAATGTCCATCAGCAAGAAAATTATTTTAAAGTTATGGAAATTAAGGAATGTTTACAGAGTAGAACAATACACAGAAATGAAAACCACATAAACAACATGAAATCTTACTATGAAACATAAAATGAGTGAAAAGCCCAATTACCAAAGACCACAGTATTTTTACAGAGTTTTATACAGTTCAAAACCTGACTTTAAAAAAATAAATAAAATTCTGACCACAACTTCTAGGTGAGTGGATACTTCTAGAGTTATGACAGTCAATGAGTCAAATGTAAAAAGAACCCAAATTAAAGAAACACTGGTATTGCTGGCAGAATGGCTCAAGTGGTAGAGTGCCTGCCTAGCAAAAATGAGGGCTTGAGTTCAAACCCCAGTGCAACCAAAATAAATAAACAAACAAAAAGGATAAGAAACACTGGTATCAATACTATTACAGTTCCTAAATCAAGTGGTAGATATTAACAGTTATTCAATTTATTATGCTTTGTCATTTAATAAATATTAAAGCATTAATTAAAATATATTATTTTAAAATCTGTGTTTAATTCTAAAGGACAAATTAAATATAACACTGTACAATGAGTAAAAATGCATCTTTATTAAACAAGTATTTTTCCAACCATGAAATTTTAAGAGAGCTTTATTTAACAAAACCAGTTGTCATTTCAAAATGTAAATTCCCATGCTCTAGAGACACAGCAATTTGATACTGTAGGTTATGACCAACCTATCTCATGTCTTCTTTCTAGAGCTCTTCTACATATAAATTAAAAAAAAAAAAAAAAAGACTTTTCATTTGGAGTAATGACCCAATCATTGTATGCACATATGAATAAAGGAAATTTAAAAAAGACTTCATTTATTCTATTTTTTTTAAACGACAGACTAGAATGAAAAAAAGGAATAGACAAACATTTATGAAAGTTCAGATTACAAAAAGCAAATTGTTTATTTCCTAACTGGGTCAACAGGTTTTAAAGACTCAATTTTTCAATGTACTCAGTTATTTTTAAAGGCATAGTGCAAAACAGGTTTTACAAGGTTTTTTTGTGAGAAAAGGAAGCTATTAACTTTCAATTCACTTAAGAGAAGTCCATCCAACAGCAGGCCTGGGAAACAGGACAAGTCTCCAGCTCTGAATGAAAATGCTAATTATAAACTGGATTTTCTGACCTTATCTGAACATTTCACGTGCTTTCCTGTCTTTGCCTCTCTGAGCGTAATAGTTTTTCTCACCATCTCCTTTCTATGTCAACGGATATTTTTCACCCTTTAAGTTCTACCATTAATTGCTACCTCTTTCATTAGAAAATTCCCCTTTCCCCCACAGAATGCAATCTCCCCTTCCACTAATCTCCCTCAGTACTTTTGTCTTTTCTGTTTCTCTCTTATTGCAGATATTGTTGTGGCCCTCCCTTAGGTCCTCATATGAAATTAGAGTTATTCAAAGGCAGAGATGGTGACTTACTCATCTTGGCAGTGCCAAATACAGTGCCTTCCCCACAGAAGACATTTAATAAATAGCTACATTAAATTTGCCCATACAAACACCCAGAATCATAGAGAAGAGGTAAACTGTAAACCTAACATACCATCAAACATTAAATATGTATTTTGAAAACAATGAACTACGGTGATAATGTTGATGAATGATTTTTCAGTAATCCAGCCAAAGGACAAAATCTTAAGTAATAAATCTCAGTCACTAACTCTTAATGTTCAAACAAAAGCTAAGGTGCAATGATTTCAAAATGAAAAACTGAGATAGATTTAAATGTACCGTTCACTATGATAAAACCTATGTGAAAACAATCAAGTATTAGTCTTCTTAGGACTATAATACACAATAGCAGAGAAGAAAACAACTGACATAAGCTTCTTACAAAGAGAAACTAGTTAACTTATGAACAAAAAATGGGCTTATTATATAGTAGGCGAATAACAAAGACATTTATTATTACACAAACCCAGTCTTAATTTCATCTCTGACCCCTAAAGTTGACCAGGCATCTATCAATTTTAAAAAAGTTAATACTTTAACAAAAGTGGGCTTATTTTTTTCTTGTGTTACATCTTCCATCTTCTGCCTCCTTTCCCCTATCCATTCAGGGGAGAAAAATGGTATAAAGAAAATATTTGTTTCATATACCCCCAATTTCCAATAACCCATTTTCTCAGTCAAGTTTTCCTTCATATTAACAGATTGCATCATTTAAAAATCAAGAAATATTGACATGTAATTATGATGACACTAACCCTACCAGACTTAACAAAGAATTTAACATTTTCCCAAGCAATGTTTCTATTTTTAAAATGAGAGGCATAAAATAGCTAACATGCCCAAAGAAAAGTAGCCAGTAATGTTGGAAATATCTGTTGGGTACATCTGAAATGAGTAACAATTCAGGTTCAGAATGTACAGACGGCCATCGCAATAACTAAAATTGCTAAGCCAACTGGGAAAGTGGGATCACAAACTTCAGCACTCGTAGCTTTATGCTTCTTTATGTTTCTAAGATCAAACTATAGAGTCAGTACACTGTACTGTAAAATATATGCTCAAAATACACCTTAGCTATTAGTTACAAGCTACCTGAACATCCCAAAGATCAGACTTAGGGATCAATACACTACATTAGGAAATATATGCTCAAGTGATCGAAGGAGGTCTACTCATAATGAATTTATCATCTATACTCTAAAATGTTAATGGTGAACTTCTAGTTGATCAATAGGTAAAATGCAGCACATACTAATAAAGCTAAGATCACAAGGGACTTCCATAAACCAAAGGCATTATTTTCCCAAACTCCACAGTTATGTCCACTGGTAGAGCACAACAGGGAGCAAGACCTCAAATGAGTCAAAAACCATACCTCTTATTACAGAAATGGCTCAAAGTACTGATCCTGGGAAACTTTTATTATTTTGTTTGTTTCAAACTTACTTTTCCACCAATTAGTGGCAGAACATGCATCTTTCCGGTCAAGCTGTCTTTCACAGATGATACTATCAGGCAGGTTCCACACAAGATAACCTGGCGTCTTGTCCATCGGTTCACTGGCAGCTGCATTTTGCCTTTGCGAACATTATACATTCCTGAGAGTTGAATCCGTTCAGAGCTACCAGTGCTGTGAGGTTTCCCTAAAACAAACACAAGCAAACATGTTATTCTTTTAAAATGGGTTTTCCCCACTCCTCATCTACATACCAGATAAATTAACTGGACAGGAGAAAATTACAGGAAAACGATCTCATTTATAACTGAGAGACTATGACAGCTGCAGTGATGGAATTACGGTAAGGACTAACATTACACACATACATTTTCCATTTAAATCCAAGGAAAGACCACTTTAACTCACTGTATCCCAAGTTTTATTTTATCTATACCATTTAAAAAGAAATGAATTCACATTTCTATGGATGGTAAATTTGTATACTGAAGAAGAAAATACTACAGATCAAGATAGGAAAATAACATTCACCATCCAACATTTAATGAACTTAACTGCTATTTTCCTCCTATATGTATTGAATACATATTTACTAAGTAGGAGAGATAAAAATGAAAGATTTTTCTAATAGAAAAATACTCTAGGACCTCAGGATAAGTCATCCATGAAGGATGGACAGGTACTGCAGTGCAGAGAGACAGAGGTAAGCCTGCATAGAGATGGAGAGACCTGAGAAGTCTGATGAGTCTTCAATCTCCAGGTGGAACAAATTCGAGAATCACATTCAGGCAAGTCCTGTAACTTAATAGGGGGACTACTGCTATTACCATAATATAGTGATGAAATTGTACAAACAATAAGAAAGGTATTTCCTCAGTTCTAGATACTGAACATATAAAATCAAAGAATAATTTCTATGCTCAGAAACAAATTAATGAGAGATGTGGTCCGACCGTAGAACTCAAATCAGAAGTGATATATTTACTTAGAAGTTTGGTTACCAAGGACCAGAAGAAATAGACTCAAGAGAAATTACATTTTAGTTAATGTCAAAATATAACAAAAACAACTGCTAATGTCTAATACAGAAGACCAATAGCACCAAAAGAAGACCTTAAAAGGATTCAAAGAGTGCCTGAACCCTCCCCATAGATACATTTAGACAGAGATGTCAGGAAGTAATGAAACCAACAGATATGAATTTTACCTCCTCTTTCTAGCAGTATATCAAAATGCTTTACAAAATACATATTCACATCATAATTGTGCTGGAGCTCAGCCAGAGTTAAGTATAGCAGTGATGCAGCTATTTCAACTAGGTGGCCAGCAAACTACACTGCTAGAGCTTTCACTGGAAAGCTACTATGATGTTGTCTGTCAAGTATTAATCTTCCCACAAATAAGTAAGTAATGTAGGAGACTATTCAAAGACATGAACTGTGAAGGGCTGCCAGTGACAGATCACACATCACTCACATGTCCCATTCTGCACATGCTCACTTAGACTCAGAAAGAAGATGTCTAGCTTCCAGTTTAAGAGCTCCTTTCTACATGACAGACTTTCTTCCTGTAGGGAAAAAGTAAGAGAGAAAACTCAGAGGAAAAATAAAAAGTGTCAACTGGGTATTCAAAATCCAATTTACTTAACTGTAAAATAAACAAAGGATCTGATACACACACGCACACACACACACAGTGGGCATTTTATTTTAGCCTCATCAGATGGCTGCAAGGACACCTGTTAATCTATCACATATATATAGACCTGTGAATAACTAGAGACTGGATACAAGGCAAATGGGGTATGTAAGGGACTTAGGTACTTTTCTCCATGTGTCCTCTTAGAGAAAGCCCCACAGCAAATCACCACACAGACTGAATTTAGGCCAGAGGGATTTTTAGGCATATGAACACATCAACAGAGACTGGCTTTTTATTCCCTACTCAGAAAAATCTCTAAGAGTTCCAAATAGTACTGGAGCTCAGTGGTAAGATCAGATGGTCCTTGGAAAACCCTAAACACCCCAGTCCGAATCAAATCCCACTAGTTTTTCTCTGAGTGAATTTGAATATACTTCTTGTCTGTTCTTTACCTAGGTGTTCCAGATCAGACACACCCTGAGTGAGTACTTGGCTGTGTACCAGCTGGACTCCAGAGAATATGGGCATGAATGAGGTAATATACACCTGGGCAGTCACCCAGGTGCACCCTCCTATGTGTCAGACTTCCTTACTCTATGACATAGGAATTATTTTAGCTCTTGCTATTAATTCTCAACATTCTCAATTTAGAGGAATTCCAATTGTTCAGTGCTCTAATAAATACTGAAAACACCAAAGAAATCAGTGCCTGCCAGTTTTAAACTGGACCAGTTGTTTTAAATTTTACTTCAAAAAAATAAATTTTACTTTAGAAATGTTACTCTGGTTCTCAGAAAGCAAGACAGTTTTACACGATTCAAGGACAGACAGCAAAAGCAAACATTCCAAGTTGAGGCAGAGACATAACTACAACAGAGACAGATTTTAAAGTATACTTGTGTACTTTCTCTTTTTCTTCCTCACCTGACACATGGCAAATATGGTTACCTATCCTAATTTTTTTAAAAAACAGAACCAGGTCCATGAAGTGGCTGCAGCCAACTTGTAGAAAATTATAGCATGATGCTAGGGGATCACACTAGGGCCTCTGGCTCTTGTTTTCTAAAGACTCCTCTCCTACAACAATCTGATGATTCTTGTTTCATGCAGTACAACTGTTCTTGGGAGGATATGAATGTCCACTGTAAGCCAGGCCTATGTTAAATACTGAGATATTAAGGAAATGTTCTCTACACCAAATTCCTTAAAACAGCATTTCTCAACATGTAGTCGAGAGGACCACATTTATCAAAATCACTTAAGATTTCTGTCCAATACAACAACCCTATAGATTTGGAACTACTGGTAGCCAAAGCCTGAGAGCTGTTTTTGGTAACCACCATCAAAGCCTTGCATGTTTTGTGTCCATCAATTTTAAAAAACATCTGTGTCATTCTCCAAAGTCAGATTATCCTCCAACTTAAATATTCCTCACTTTCGTGAACTTGGGATTTCAATTTTGTTCTCCCCCTACTAACTCAGCTACTAACATTCCTGTGTCATGTAAAGTCACCTGAAAAATATGATGAAAGCTATGTATGGATTCTAGGAGGAAAGAACAGAATTAAGCATAAACATACAGTGAGTTCATGTGACCATCCTCAAGAAAAAAAAGATAATGAAATCACTCAATAGCAAGAGTCTATTCCCATTTCCACAAATCATACTCCAGGCATTGTTAGTCTTACTATAAACAGTAATTATTTTATAAAACAATTTTAAAAATTAGTCTTTTGTATTTATTATTTCCAGTTTTTTTCATTCCTTTGTATAAACTCGGTCCATCTGATATTATTTTCCTTCTACTTCAATAATTTTTTAGCATTTTTTCTGGTGCAGGTCTGATAGTGATAAAGTTAGTTGCTTTTGAATATCTAAGAAAGACTTTGTTTCCTTTGTCTTTAAATATTTTCACTGTGCATAAATTTTTTTCTTTCAGAATTCTGAAAATGATCCTCGAATGTCTTCTAGTGTTCAGTTTCCTTCCTTTGGGGGGCAGTTCTGGGATTTGAACTCAGGGCCTTGTACTTGCCAAGTAAGTGCTCTATCATTGTAGCTTTTTTGTTTTAGTTATTTTTCTTAAAAGGGTCTTACTTTTATGCAGTGCCAGCCTGGACTGCAGTACTATTTATATTTTCTGCAGTAGCTGGGGTGACAGACACACACACTACCATGTCCAGATTTTTTGGCTGGATGACATGGGGGTCTCGCCAATTTTTTGCCTGCGCTGGCCTCAAACTGCAGTCTTTCCAATCTCTGTTTCCTGATTAGCTAGGATTACAGATGTGCACCACTGGTATCCAGCTATTGCAGTTCTTTAGGTCTTTGTGCAGAGCATGTTCCCCAACCACCTTGCTCCTTTTAAAGATTTTTCTTCATTGCTGTTCATATGATGTTTAATACTTTTATGTTTCTTGTAATTGAAGTTTGTGGAGTTTCTGAGATTTATGGTCAAAATTGAAAAAACTGTCAGCTACTACTGTTTCAAATATTTTTTCTGATCTCACAAAGCCTCTTGAGGGACTCTAATTGTAACTCACTAAATGTTCTTTTTCTTTCCTCCTATCTTCTCTTCCTCCCCCCTCCCTTCATTACTGATTATATCAGTAACAGTATCTTCAGGTTTGCTAACTTTTCTTTGGCAGGGTTTAACCTACTGTTTAGTCTAGTCTACCCAATAGTCTTTTCATCTCTACAAGTTCAATTTGGGTATATGTCTACATATATGTATGTAAATATATACATTAACACACACATATATGTATCTTCCATGTCTCTCAACATGCTAATGCTTTATCTTCATGAATATATAGAAATATAAGCTAAAAATGTTCTCAATTCTATCATTTGGTTCATTTCTTTGTCTATGTAATTTCGTTGACCTTTCTCCTTATTGTGAATCTTCAAAACACAGGCAATTTTGTTTGGGTGCCATTTAATATGAATTCTAGCATGATAAGTACTAAATCTATTTGGATTTCTATAAATATTAAAGTTTTGTTCTAGGACAACAGTTACTTGAAAATAGTTTGGTTCTTATTAGGCTTGATTCTAAAATCTGTTATTCAGGCTGAGAACAGCCTTAACTCTAAAGCTAAAATAATATTAGCAAGCAATATCTTATTGAGTACTCTGCTTCATACCCTGTAAGTTATAAGGTTTTCCATTCTGGCTGGAAGAAACATGAACTATTCTCGGCCCTGCATGAGTTTCAAGGTCTAATCTCTCTATTCCTTTTCAGTGTTTTCCCCAGCCTTGCATGTTTTCCTCACATATGTGCAATGACTCATACTCAGCTTAAGGTGCAGTGACCCCCTGCACATTTCCAGAACTCTACCTCTCTAAGCAGCTCTTTTCTCTCCAACACCAAAGCTCTATAAACTCCATCCTCAATGGACTCCTGGCTACTTTAAGTGACAACCACTGAAACTACACAGAACTAAGTACAAATTACTGCCAATTATTGCTGAATATTCCCACAGCCTGCATTTGTTGTAGTTTAAAAATATTTCAACACGTTCTTTTCAGTTCTGTCCTTTAGAAGGTGGGGACTTATTCCACCTTCTCCCTTCCCCCCAACATGTGGAATGCACTTAGTGGCTCACTTCTAGAATATGGTAGAAGCATCGGTGACAGCTTGTGATTGCTGAAAGTAGGTCATAAAAGGCATTAGAGCTTTCTCATCACTCTCTCCCTCTAGGATCACTTCTACAGAAGCCAGCTGCCATGTCAAGAAGCACAACCCTAAGGAAAGACCAACAAGGGAAAGACTAGAAACTTCTTGTCAGTGGCTGGCAAGGAACTGCGGCTTCACTAACTGCATAGGAGTGAGCCATATTAGAAGCCTGAAGGCACTCTCAAACCAGAGAAATGCAGCCCAAGACATCCTGACTGCAACCTCATGAAGACCCTGAGTCTCAGCTAAGCCACTCCTGAGTTCCTAACTCAGACAAACTCTGAGAAAATAAATGTTTAGTGTCTTGACTCACTAAGTTTGAAGGCAGTAACTAATACATAATACATAACAATAATGTTGATTTCACTTAGTTCTAATTACTGAACATAATAAAATTTTACTAACCTACATTTCCCTAAAAGTATTTATAAAATGGGTCTACTTTAACCAGAAATAGTCAAAAACAAGAATAAGAACAGCACATTAAGCTATCTCAACAATTTCCCAAATGTTGAGAGTGAAAGAACTCATGTTAATGGAGCACCAAAAACTAAGAAAGTCTGATTGCTACATGATATTGATGAAAGAATTTACCATGTCCCTAGAGCTGAAAATGGCCTGGAATGAGGAAAAACACTCAATGCTCACCTCACCTTCTCTACCTTTCAAGCCTGAACTTACAAAACTTTAGAGTATGTTTCTTATTGCATATAAATCCTTAAATCCTTTTTGACTACTTACAGTGTTAGAATGAATTAAATTACTTGCCAAGGTTCATTTCAAGAGCTAGCAGAGGACTGAAATGACTCCATAAGAGGTCTAGAGAACTAAGCATTAAACTGCATCGGGGAATTTTGTCTCTGAACTGAGAGGCTAAAGCATTTCAGTGAGAAGTGCTGGCAGGAGCTCTGAAACAGATTTAAGACTAGCTGCTCTTTAACTAATGGAAGTGACAACCAGCTGCTAAATACATTGGGGGAAGATTAATTTATGCATCAGATCAAAATGTGTAAAGTCAACTGCCCAGTAAATCAAATCTTGCTTCTTCCTGACAGCTACTCATTTTGATTAGGTTTATCTCCAAAACCTATCTCCAAAACTGCTATAGACCTTATTCTTAACAAATAGAATGCCCTGAACCTTTCTCTAATCCCAAAATTCCTCAGTACTACTAGAGATAATTTCCTTTATAATATTCATTAAGCAGTACCTGAAAAATGAGAGCTATCTTTTATCCCCTTT